ACTGACGGGTGGCGCCACCGCCTACGTCTTCTGTCGTTCGGCCGTGGATTATGATTTTTACTCTCTTAATATGCTTTAATACTATTACATATTCGGATAAGTTGCATGATTATTATCACAGCTTTGCGGAAATTCCCACAGAATTGTTGTTGCGAAGGATTGGAGTTGTTTCCATTGGCAGAACGAATTCTGCCAAAGAAACTCTCCAGTAGATCTTGTTGCAACGTGGTTGTGCGTATTTTGTCAGTTAATTTCGTTTCAACGAACTCCTCGTAAATCATTTTCAGGGCTGCAATATTCAACAGAAATCCCGTGAATGCTGTATTTTTACCGCATGCTGTAGCCTTTTGGCCATGAACTCTAAGTTCACGGATATATTGATTGATTCATGTCATCAAGAAACGCGAAATGTACGGTCAAATCGTTCAAGAAAATCAGAAGTGCCTTCCGAACCAGCGAATTGTTTCTGATTATTCGAAGCTAAAATTCGAATAGATTTTGCTACTGATGAGCTGATTGTTTGAGTGGCCAAGCTAACTTTCATTGCGTTGGATGACCAGTCGATATGTCGCTTGGTTAATTTGTGGGAACATAGCTCAGAGTTTTTCGAACGATATAACCGCTCGACAAATTTCCATTCGATTGACCGATCCCGGCCATCAAGCATAATTTTTTCATTTCCTTAACAATTTCGCACGAGCTTAAGCATATGCGGGCTGTCATGCATCACAAATACTTTGTTTTCGTCGTCGGGGTTAATAAAATACGGCCTTAAATCCGATTCAGCAAATGATGCTCCCAAAATTTCATATGCTGTAAAGTTCGTAATCAAACCATCTGAAGTTACCTCTACTACTCTAACTCCTATGCTTGTCAGTGTTTTGATTACCGACGCAATTAAAATGGCCTTTTCTTCTGCAATCAACGTAGTTATAAAGAAGTATGCGATTGGAAAAGTAACTTTTACGTTGATGCCATTCAACATTATGACAATTACATTATTAGCAACGGGAAGTGCATCATTTTCATTTAGTTTCGTTCCAAAATTTATGAAACCAGAAAACTTTTTTGAATGATGTAGCCATTGAACGTGTTTTCTCATGGACATCTCATCGAAAGCGATAGAAACACATACTGTACGTCCCTCTTCTTTAATCTCTTTCACTAATTCAACTAATGATTTTACAGCTGCATTCGAGCCATCAGTGAGTGCAAACCATTTCCGAATAGTAAATGAGTGAGGAAAGGTATTATTGAATTTGTGTCTGAAGTATTCATATGATCTCGGACTTAAATAGCGCATGTTCAATGCGAATAAGCGCACCGATTTACTGAACTTATCGCCTGGTTGGATTCCATTCAGCATGCAATCGATGATAGAATGTGTGTCGGGGTCCTATAAATAGAAACAGAATTACAGAATTGCCTAAAAAATCTGAATGTAAAATAGATTTATTTTTTTCATAAAATTTCCCTAAGTATCCATACCGTTTGTGTACAAAAAATGATGCACTCAATCGACATCGATCAACCTTCCTTTAAACCACCTTTTCCAATAGATTTCCCAACAGTTTTGCGGATAAAAACATGTTCCAAAACAGTGGAAAACAGCTACCTGAAAAGGCCAACACCGTGTTATTACACATATTTTTCTATCTACAGAAAATTTTCGTTCTTATTAGACACAATCGGACACAGTTGCACAAAATGCCCCTGACACATCAAACTATACAAACACAACATTGAAAATCACATTCATCTACAGCGATCTACAGACATTCACATGCATACATTTAAGTCTTACTTAGTAAGACTTACTATTAAAAAAACTCCGCAATCGAAATATACATTGCATATGTTTATATTAAAAAAACATATGCATTAATTTTTTTACTTAATTCATATCAGTTCATAGTGGGGCAAATTTAATCACAAAATCCGTCCAACTCAAACGGGCTCAAATTAACTCAGTCACTTTGAGTCAACATTATAAATTCAACTTACTTGTAATGCATTAGATCGAATCACTGGTAAACTGTTCATCCGTTCAATCTCATTCTGGGCATGTTTCAATAATTTTTTGGCACGATCCCTTTCTTCTGTTCTTTGTTTCAGTTTTTGTTCGAGTAATTTAATTACTTTTCCGCAAACTTTGTTTGTATGGAAAAGTATTGGTTTTACTAGCCAAAATTTCATGACATCTCCTCTTTCGGACCACTATAACGTCACGCCAAACTTCAAAAAGCACATATCTGTACACTAGGCAATGTAGATGGGAACAAATCCTATCGATCAAGACCTATCTGCCTCCAAAAACATGTTGTTTACTATGAAAAATGTGCAAAATAGCGATGTGCGTATGGCGTCGTCCCGAGGGGCAAATCACTCAAAATAGTAATTGCAAAATTTAGCAGTAACTGCACGAGAAAAAAGTAATTGCAAAAGTAATTGTTGATCAGCAATTACTACATTTTTCTTGCAATTACCAATGCAATTACTTCTTTTTAATGCAATTACTTTTGAGTGATCTGCCCCTCGCGTCGTCCGCGTTCGCGTTTGCGTCCGCGTTTTTTGTTCGCCGATTATCTCAAAAAGTTGACAAGATAATTGAGATCTGTAAAAGCCAAAAGTTTTGGCATGTCGAGACAAAGCTTCGGATTGATTTTGAGCCCATTCTGATTTACCAATTTCGTACCATAAGCCTCCGACTGAGGACCTGAAAAACCTTGAAAAATGACACTTTTGTACGGGAAGAACCCGAAAAAAGCATTTTTCAATCAAGGCAAACTGCCATTTTTTTGCAAAAATAATGGGAGTCTGTGAACAACCGAACACCTACTTGTCCAAAAATTTGGTCCAAAATCGACAATTCTTGAAATTTTCCTCGAAAAATAGACTTTTGTATAAAAAAATCACTCAGGATGCCATTTTTTAGGGTTTTGGTAAAAGCAAACTGATATTTTTTTGCAAAAATAATGGGGGTCTGTGAACAACCGAACACCTACTTGCCCATAAATTTGGTCCGAAATCAACATTTCTTGAAATTTGTGAAATTTTGTTCGAAAATGACACTTTTGTATGGAAAATGGTCGAAATAGTTATATTTTAAGGTCAAAAACAATGTGTCCAAAACGCATAGATACGGCATCGCATAAGGCAGTTATCGCATAATTATCGCGCGATAATTCTCTGCCTGCGGTGCCGCAGTGTACGATTTGTGCACGATGAACGAACGCAACCGTACGACGCAAGACGCGTGCGTTGTTTTCCACTGAATGATTGATCGAGGAGAAAAAAGAGAGAAGAAAGAAAAAAAACAACATAAAAGCAATTTTGCGATATATTTTTTTTGTTGCGATATATTTTCTTTGTTTTATTCCATTCGAATCACACAGAATGCAAATGAGCAGAGGGAAAGAAGAAAGCAAAAAAAAATAAAACAAAAACATTAGCTGTTATTTTCATACGATTTGTTTTTTTTTGTTGACCGATGTGTTTTTGCAATCTAATTAATACCACTATGGACGGCCTCCTTATCTTCTTTATTTATAATTTTAAACAGATCTTCATTGGTGATTATTAAAATCATATCTTCAAGCAGTTCTGGTGACAGTTGGTTTCGCCAGCTATTGTACAGAAAGCCAAATATTGAAAACAATCTTTCAACGGTCGCTTGTGTTGGCGGAATACCGTTCAACACCATGCTCAGCTCGAATAATTCGGGATAGTCGTTTTGTTTGGCTTGCCAAAATTTCATTACAGACTGGTCACATCGCAGAAAACTACCAGCTATGTCGTTAAGGAATTTGTCCAAAAGCATTCCAATGTCAATATTCCTTTTCGAAGCATCACGATTTGGTTTCGGTTCCAAAACCGATTGCCGTAAACCTTTTTGTGCGAAATATGAATTCAATAGGCTTATATCATCCTCGCCATCGCCGCCTTCTACCTCTCGATCGTTTTCATTGTGCTCATGTTCCTCAGACACAGTCATTTTCAAATTGTATCTTTCCCACAAATTTGATAGAGTGAGTTTTGCCAAACGAATTTTTTCGGCGTGATCGATTTCACTGCTATAGCGAGGATCCAAAATCACAGCACAAATCATAGCTGGATTGTCCAACAATTGGCCTTTTCGCTTTTCTAATGTTTTCAGCAGTTTGCTTGCGATTTCTGTGTGACGGATCTCTTCTTTTGTGAATTTAATCAGCTTTATCGACATAAGGATCCATTTTCCATAAAAATCAGATAGTGTATAATGGGGTTGTTGCAGTGCAATAGTTGCGTTGTACGGAACAGCTAAAACATCGACAAGTTCTCGTAGAACATCCCACTTTTTCAACAACAAAGCAAATTGTTTTTCACTCTTCGCAAAAAATGTAACAACGTTTTCGCATTCCAAAAGGTCAGCCAACTGTAAATGGAAATAAAAGCAAATGCTATTGTAATTTTTTCTCCTAAAAAGCCACATTCGATTTGTTTTACCATTAAATACGTTGAGCTCCAGCGAGTGGTAACATCTGGCCTCACCCACTTATATTTCAGATTTGCTTGGCCAACGATAATGCATTTTGTATTCGGCAAACGAATAAACTTGCCAATTGCCCGACACAATGCCAAAAAATTTCTGCCACCATCATTCAATGAGTTAATTGCTTCCTTTACAGCCAGCTGTAGAGTGTGCGCGGCACAGCTTACACCATTAACGTAAATTAACGAGGTTGTATACTTTCGTTTGAAATCCGAAACTAATTGATTGAGTAAATCGGTATGTTCATCGCTGTCGTCAATAAGGTCATTCAACAGTTCTTTATCGGCATCATCCGATTCGTGAAGCACTTCATAGAGCTCTTCTTCATAACATTCATCAGATATATGAATCACATTCAAATTATCTGGAATAAATTCCTCCGTTTCACATGATTCGTCTTCATCTTCAGACTGCTCGAAAATTTCGTTCAATCGTTTCACGGTCGCACCCATGTTTGCTGCATTATCTGTAGTCAATGAAACAATTTGGCTGATTTCCACTTGATAGCTTAATAAACAAGAATGTATCAAATCGGCAATGTAATCGGCTGTATGTCTTTCCTTCAATTCGATTAAACCGATGGTTCGAATCACATGGCTCCCATCTTTGATGTACTGAATGCTGATACCAAGTACAGAGAGGCTGTGTTTTGAAGCAATATCAACCATAACCGATATCATTCGACCTTTAACTTCCGATGAGATGCGGTCTCGAATTTTATTCGCTGTTGCTTTTAGATGGCTTTTAACATCAGGTAAATTTTTGTTTGATAAATTCAACGCATGACCAGCGGCATTCAATTTACACACTTTTTTCGCAATTAATTTTTGGAATGCAGATTTGAGAATATTTCGGAACGGTTCCTTGTTTATTGTCACCTTTTCAACACAATTTTGCAGTAGTTCCAAACATTTTACGGCATAGCTTGTCCCTTTGATTTCGATTTTTGTTTTATAAATATCGTTATGCACACACTTCATATGTGATATGAGATTTGATGGTTTTGTTCCGTTTATAAGTTTGTTGCATAATGAACACGCGTAAATTACTTGTTTGCCTTTCTCAGTTGAATTGGTTTCCTTGTGTACAAAATATTCACGGGCACGTGATGTTATTGATTTAATCTGATTCTGTTCCTGTTCCTGTTCCATTTTAGCTATAAATTATGTGGAATCCAAAAAACCTAACTACATCTCAAAGTATAAGTGGCTCTGTCAAAGTAATCGAGCGGGAAAATGAACCGTCTTTGATTTGGTTGAGAATGTTTTTAAACTGACTTTTTTGTTTTTCCGCGCGGGATAATGAGCTGTCAAAATTCAGTAAAACAAACAACGCACATTTCGATGCAGCGTTTGTCATTTGTCAAGTGAATTTCCACTCGATCACATTTCATACACTTGTTCGTTCGCGCCAACATACACTCTGTTTGTAGCTCTTGTTACTGAAGAATATAAGTCTCACGAAAAATTCGAAAACATTTCATCACTTCAGTTTATATTTAATTTCGATTGTTTCAAGTTTTATTAATTTTTTTCGTAAACACAATACGAGAAAAATGCCGTACGTTGTGGTTTGGTTGGTTGACCCGAAAAAACGTGTGGCAATCGATGTCGAATGGGTACAAGACATTTTTCGAGCCCGTCTATGGAACAACGGAAAAAATAGCAATCAAAATTATTTGGTGTTTTGGTCGTCCAAGGATGATATTCCAAATTTCGGTGAACGACCACAGTTCAGTGCACCGATTGCGAATGAATATTTGGCCACATGTGACGGTGCTTGCTATTTAGGTCGCATGGAAAAATTTTTCGGTAAGTTTACATTTTTCTATGCAAACACTCGAAAGTTCTAAGACAGCATGTGATATTTTAGATGAATATGTCGAGGCACTTGCTTACATTGCACGTCAAAGACGACAAGGTCCACCCCCAGTTTATAATTCGGCACGTGAACGTGAAAAGCCAATGCCAAACACCAATCAACCAAGTTCCGAGGATTTGGATACGATATTCTTCGAAGAAAGCGGTGGAAGTGATTTATTAGTGCCCACTGCGTCTGATTCAGATGCGACATTCTGGGAGGGTGATGGGCATGACGATGCAACAAAACAAAGCCATCAAAACTCTGATGATGATTCACGTGGAAATAGCCGCAACGAGTGTGATTCAAGTGGTACATCGCACAATGATTTAAACGACAACCAAGAAAGCGATTCAGATGGAACAACAAACATTGTTTCTTCAACTCCAGACAATACAATTGCAATTGGAGCTGATCAGGTTACACCACATGCTACCGACTTGAATCAAACACCAGCCGAAAATGAAAGTGAAAATGGTCAATTGGTGATTACAACGACTGGCATCAAAGAAGAAGGGTCGGTGCATTTGGACGAAGTCGATGGTCGCGAACTGGACAGCATTCTCAACGCAGACGAGCCGGTTGAAACGGAATATATACAACACGATGGCGATGTATATATTTCCTCTGAGCGAATGTCATAGCCGTTTTCTCATTTGTGTTTTTGGGTAAGTGATTGACTTTTGAATGCATTCATATTTATGGTTTGAAATTACATGTTTATTTTTTTTTTTCGAAATAAAGGTTAGTGGAAATCATATTTGGTTGACATCGATGGTGTCTCTGTCGAAGTTCGCATTTCGGGCACTGTTGTCAAGACTCTTATGAAGTGGAACGGTCCGACTTCACGTACACAATACTATGATAAAATAAAACGAATTACATACGTAATCCAAACTTTTCCGCTCCGCAGCAATTTAGTTTGCACAAATTGTTCGAAAATGACACTTTTGTATGGAAAATATATAATAGTTATATTTTAAGGTCAAAAATGCTATGAAAAAAGGGTCCATTGAAATTTTGGTTAAACATTAAGCGGGAGGCAAACTAAATTGCTGTGGAGCGGAAAAGTTTGGATTACGTATGTAATTCGTTTTATTGAAATTTAAATTTCAAAAATTTCAAGAAATGTTGATTTCGGACCAAATTTATGGGCAATTAGGTGTTCGGTTGTTTGAAAGCTCCCATTATTTTTGCAAAAAAATGGCAGTTTGCCTTGATCGAAACCCCGAAAAATGCCTTTTTCGGGTACTTCCCGTACAAAAGTGTCATTTTTCAAGGTTTTTCAGGTCCTCAGTCGGAGGCTTATGGTACGAAATTGGTAAATCAGAATGATCTCAATTATCTTGTCAATGAGATAATCGGCGGACAAAAAGCTCGGACGCGAACGACGCCATACGCACATCGCTATTTTGCACATATTTCATAGTAAACAACATGTTTTTGGAGGCAGATAGCTCTTGATCGATAGGATTTCAACCCATCTACATTGCCTAGTGTACAGATACGTGCTTTTTGAAGTTTGGCGTGACGTTATAGTGGTCCGAAAGAGGAGATGTCATGAAATTTTGGCTAGTAAAACCAATACTTTTCCATACGAACAAAGTTTGCGGAAAAGTAAAATTCATCAAAATGTTGCTTATTTCGTTCATTAGCACTAGCAAAATTTGCAACGATGATGTCCCGTCTTCAGTAATTGATTTGATTCGAGGTAAACTAATTTGTATCCAGACAGAGTGTGTGTTTGTTTGTTTTTTAAAACATAAATAATAATATAAACATTTTGATATTTACAGATTTGTTCAACTTTCGTGCAAAAGACAAGAAAAGAAAAATGCCGCCAAAAAAGAAACATTCGAAGATTTGCTGAAAACCGTATGCGACGAAATTAAGCGATACTAATTGATGCCGATCGAATTACAACATGAATAGAAGTATTCAAAAAAAAAAACAAATCGAATGAAAATAACAGCTAATGTTTTTGTTTTATTTTTTTTCTGCTTTCTTCTTTCCCTCTGCTCATTTGCATTCTGTGTGATTCGAACGGAATAAAACGAAAAAAATTTATCGCAAAATCATTCTCTTGCTTTTATGTTGTTTTTTATTTTCTTTCTTCTCTCTTTTTTCTCCTCGATCAATCATTCAGTGGAAAACAACGTACGCGTCTTGCGACGTACGGTTGCGTTCGTTCATCGTGCACAAATCGTACAATGCGACAACGCAAGTAGAGAATTATCGCGCGATAATTATGCGATAACTGCCTTATGCGATGCCGTATTTATGCGTTTTGGACAGATTGATAATCATAGCGGCTCCCATATTATTGCAAAAAGCACAAATGGTATATAGCCTTCACACGTTCTTTAGCTAGTACAATCGCGATTCAAATACACCGAATTCGGGATAAGCCAAATTCAGGGATAATCTCTTGAAACCACAAATAAAATACATTCACGCCCATGCAGCGTGCGAAAAAGTTACATATCAAAACACTGATTTTTTATATTGTCACAAACTTCTTGACATGTGCTGGCAATTGTTTGAAAATACTTTAAATGCGTGATAACAGTATCAGTTTGAAATCAAATTTTTAATCGCAAGAGCAGATAAAAAGAAGAAAACAAAAATAATTTCTTTTGTCTTGAGTTACTGGAATTTACTCTCTAATTTACATTTAAGCATTAAGCAATTTATCAGCAATATTTGGAAGTTTCACAAACAAAGTATACAAACAAGTGTATTGTTTTGACTGAACTTTGGAATGAACAGAATCGATGTCGTCTGTATTTCGTCTTTCCACTGGGATTTAATGGAAAACGAATGAAAACCATAATCAAGCAAAATTTTGATCGCACAATCTCAACACAACTGCCGGAACGAAGGCACTGGACCTATTTTTTGATCAAAAATGATTGCATTTTCGAATTCATCGTCAAAAGTTAGCCTAATCGATTATCTATCCAACCATGCATATAGTTTTGAAAGTTGGTACCACACTTTTCATAGTGTAAAAATGTGAAAAAAAAGTTCTATAGTAAATTTTTCCCCAAATTTGGGTCACCCTAATTTTTCATCAAGTGGGGAAGGTCACCCTAATTTTTTAGCTTTGCGAGATTTTGGCCATACCAAGTTTATACACCAAGTTTGAGCGAAACCGGAGAGGTGAAATCAGAATTTTGTTACGCTTGGTGTGGAATCGTCGTTTTAGGAAACATTTTTCTAGGTCAATTGCAAAAAGTGACTGCCTTGAAGAAAATTTCATTGTTTCCAGTGGAAATTGTGCGCTTTTTGTTCGATAGTGTTTTATCGATTGCTTGTTTGATGGATGTTTCTAGAGGGACTTGAACATGTGGGGGAGAAATGTAAGACATTTTCTTTAATTGTCTCCAATTTTGTTTTCTTATTTTGTCACTTGTTTTTTTTTTGAATCGATAATGTTTGTGGATTCAAAAGTCACGAAAAACTTACTTCACAAAAAAACACACCAGAAAAGACCTTCTCTCTCATTGAATCAGTACACAACAAATTCCCTTCTCTAAGATCAAAGTATTTATCTAAGCAACAAAATTTCATACCAGTCCCACCTCAAATCCAGCGATGAGGTACTCTTCGGCGAAGGTATCAAAATGATCTCCTCTGTATTTGTCAAGAAGTGCGTTCAGCGTTTTCTTCAAGTTATCATCGTTCTTATCAACGTTGAAAAGTTGTGTACGAAATGATTTGAGCTCGTATGGAACATCCAACTCCTGTTTCGTCATTTTGACTGAAATATGACCCTTTTGATAAGATTTATTAGAAAAAAATGCCACAGTAACTAAAAAATACCAAAATATTTCAACGATTCGGCGAGTGAGGTTGCTCACGGCGACCTATAGCACACTACTTGATTGGTTGTATCACCGGGAGCCTCTGAAATCAGAGTAAAGTAAACAATATCGAATTAGATAAGATTAACATAGCAAGTCACGAATTTTGAATGATCAGTCGCAGTTGTGAGTGACGCAGTTTATTCCGTCAATTTGTACTCCAAATTTCAATTCATGCGTTGGAATATTAGCTTTATTAATAAATTAAATTACTTGATTCGAATATAAAGCCACAATCTGCTTGTGAATTGGGATCAGATGAAAAACCTCTAGACGAGGTTAAAATGGAGTGACGCTCCGTACGTGGATTCACCACTCAAAAAGACTGATATCATATTGAGCTTTGACGCTGTATTACTTATGGATACGAAGTTCAGAAGTTTTTTCGCATTCACTATTGTAAAAATTTATTTACAATAAGGAAAAATATCGCGTCACGACTTTTGCATTTTTTTCAAAGCTTTTAAGCATTTTGCCGTGTAAAAGTCGTGACACGATATTTTTCCTTATTGTAAATAAATTTTTACAATAGTGAATGCGAAAAACACTTCTGAACTTCGTATCCAGAGGTAGTACTAGGATGATTGATAAGTTGGGTACTTTTCTATGAGAGGGCGGCACTAATATACAATCCTGATGGTTTTTGACAAGTACAATCCTTCATGAGACAGCTGTCAAAATTGCAGACAAATCGGACCATTAGTTCATGAGTAATAGCACTTTGAAGCAACAAACCTCCGAACATTTGTGAAATCATGGAAAAAAGTGAATTTCGTGTGTTGATTAAACACTATTTTTTGCGTGGAAAAACCATCGCCCAGACCGAAGTGGCGCTTAAAAAGTATTATTCGAACTCTGCTCCATCTCATAAAATGGTACACAAGTGGTTTACTGAATTTAAATGTGGTCGTATGAGCACCGAAGACGCAGCTCGCTCAGGTCGTCCAAATGAGGTGACTACTCCAGAAATGATCGACAAAATACACGATCTGGTGTTAAATCATCCGAAAATGAAAGTTCGTGAGATAGTTGAGACTGTAAACGTCTCATATGAACGGGTGCTTAACATATTGCATGAACATTTGCATATGAATAAGCTATGCGCAAGATGGGTGCCGCGTATGTTAACCATTCAACAAAAACGGATTCGTGTAACCACTTCTGAAGCCAATTTGGCCCATTTTAAGCGCAACCCGAGTGAGTTTTTGCGTCGATTAGTGACAATGGATGAAACCTGAATGCACCACTACACTCCAGAGTCCAGTCAACAGGCTAAAGAGTGGACGAAACTCGGTTCACCGCCGGCAAAGCGGCCAAAGACGCAACAATGGGCTGGGAAGGTTATGGCCAGTGTGTTTTGGGATGCACACGGTATAATCTTCATCGACTACCTGGAAAAGGGAAGGAGGATTACTGGCGCAAATTATGCTGCATTGTTGGATCGATTGGTGGTCGAAATCGCATCGAAACGGCCCCATATGAAGAAGAAAAAAATCCTCTTTTTGGACGATAATGCACCGTCGCACACATCGATGATTGCAATGACAAAAAAGAACGAATTGGGCTTCGAATTGGTTCAACACCCACCATATTCGCCAGATCTAGCCCCCAGCGATTACTACCTCTTCCCAAACCTCAAAAGATGGCTATGTGGAAGACGTTTTTACAACAATGGAGAGGTCGAGTTCGAAACAGATAGCTATTTTGGGACTTTGGACAAATCGTACTATTTGGTTGGTATCCAAAAGTTGGAAAATCGTTGGACTCGTTGTATCGAGCTAAAAGGAGAATATGTTGAGAAATAAAATTGAATTTTTCGCAAAAAATGTGTTTTCATTCAAAAAGTACCCATCTTTTCAATCCACCTAGTACAGCGTCAAAGCGTCACTCAATATGATATCAGTCTTTTTGAGTGGTAAATCCACGTATGGAGCGTCACTCCATTTTAACCTCGTCTAGAGGTTTTTCATCAAATATCACCAATTTTGTAAGGCTTTTTTTTTTGGAAAAATACATTTTTATGTAGAAGTATGTCTATTTTAAGGTCTTATCATTGGGAATTTGTAATTTTTCGGGTAAAACATTTGCATACACATTTCGCAAGTTTTGTAAATAGCAAATTTCCATTTTCATTTAAAAAGTCCCATTTTCCCCTTATTGGACATTGTAAAATGTGATTAAATTTCAAAATATCCATTAAAAGAGTTTTGAAGTAATTTTGGACCCATTATTTCATTGAAACATATTAATTTCCAACCACCAAAGCTCTGGAAAGTGCATTTTTTATGTATCCCCTGAACAAAAGTTCAATTTCATACATTCAGATGCCAAAATGCCGATTTATGACCAAAATGACAACGAAATGGATATTCAAGTGTTCGTGTACTCCCATTATTTTCACGAAAAAATAGCAGTTTTCTAAGACCAAAACGACGTCAGAGGTCTATTTCACGTGTTTTCCGAACAAAAATGTCATTTTCAGTGAAAATAGAGCAAGTTGAAAAATTCACTCAATCCGACCTATTTTTCGACCATGAAATGGCCTCAGATCGCATTGTGACCACTTTTAATCGATTGCTCGTTGAAAATTGAGCGGATATGGTCTTTCGTGAGCCTTTTTCAGCCAGTAGATGCGTATTTTTGGCAGCAATTTCATCGTAGAATGCGACTCTTCGTACAAATTCCGTTCATTGATGAATTGCCTATGCCCAGAACTTCGAAATACGAATTTTCCCGGATATATGGAATATGCCATTTTGTTGGTATGGTGGCCGGCTACCAGGGTTGGCATGTAAAAAACTCAAGCATGTAATTTACATTTCGTTTACGTAAATTACATGAAAATTTCGGAATTCTCTACGTGAATTGTGTAAAAAATGTAAAAAACCAAATTGGATTTTAGATATAATATAAAAAAGTTAGAATTTATTTCAGACTTTCTCGGACATTTTCATTTCTAATGCAAAGGATTAACATAACTGATGAATCAAAAATGAATGAAAATTGTGTAGTATGTATCGTTGTCGCAGGTTTGGTTTCATTTCTCGTTCATAATATTCCAATCGTTTCATATAATTTATCAATCATCATTCGATCGCAGCGTAAAATAAATGTTGACCAGTTTCTTTGATGTATCAACCGAGAGCCTGTTTCTGATGTCATTATGAACATAGCCCCAATGGAAGGAAAGCCATTCTAGTTGCGCTGTTGATGCAGGGATTTTCAGAAATTTCATTGCAAACGAGCTGTTCAAGAATGTAGTTTTTCAATTCGTTTTGCTGTTCTTGATTCAATTTTTCACCGCGATATACTGGATGCAAATAATTTGTCGTCATCGTAACAATGTTTATCACTTTACTTTCCTCGCAACGATTGTCCAAAAAACTACAAAAATCTGGACAATCAACAATTAAATTTAATCATTTTTCAACGACATCTGCAGCTGAGATATCGCTTCTTTGACAGTAGTTTGTGAGTTCAGCCACCGGATCGAGCAATCCAAGCAATTTTTTAACTGATGGGACAAAATTTGCATTGAACAAAAGTGCTGAAGTTCTTCCCATCTTTTGCATACTGTATGCATTATCCGTCAAAACCGAAGTAATTGTGGCATCATACCGTTCTTTGGCTATAGCGATCGACTTTTCCACCGCTTCAAATAAAATCTCTCCCGTATGAATTCACATGTTACATGTATATATTATATAAAAATACCTAGTTTTGTTAATTTAGAAGTTTTTTACATCCAAGAGGTTTTTTACACGTAAAAAACGTAATTTACAGTTTTTTACGTAAATTACATGCGCCACTTAAAAATTGCGTAAATATGCCAACCCAGCCGGCTACAAACGCTCAGTTTTTGGTAGAAGATTGTCGGGCTGATTTTTTAGAAATCGCGTTTGGTGTGAAATTTAAGGAAGTCGATTTTTCATAAAAATCGACTTTTTTCTTTTATATCACATAAAATGGTGCCTCGACACCAGCAACAGCTTGAGCATGTCGGCACCGGAATCTGTGGGGGTCTCAAAAGTTTCCGGACACACGGACGCACAAATCAATACTTTCATAAAAAATCAAGATCAAACTGCCAATACCCATAACTTTTTCGTTTTTGAACCAATCGGGGCACTTAGACCGGCGTTGAAAAGGTGGCGAGGAGGAGCTTCTCTTGGATATCTCAGACCACCCCCTAGGTACCCCCTTCGTAAGATATGGGTATAGATTTGAAAATTTATCGAAATTTTCCAACCGCTATATTTTTGCCTAGACCACATTTTAGACATGACGGATATAGTGTTTCCGACTATTTGGGCCAAAACCTTTCCAACGGTACCTAACATGCCGGGGCCCAAATAGTGCCCTGAGAAAATAGCATATTTACTGTATATACTCGTGACGCAAAAACTGGCATTTTACTCTTCCGTACACAACGTGTCAAGGGAAAGTATAGGAATGTGTCCCGAAAACTTGTTTCGCAAAATTAGCTTAGATCATCATAAAAACTCATGAAACGCGTAGAAAACCACTTTTTGAGACACTTTTCCGTTCGTGTGCCGTCGTCGTCGTCGTCGTCGTCGTCGTCGTCGTCGTCGTCGTTGTCGTTGTCGTTGTCGTTGTCGTTGGTGTTTGTTAGCACGATAACTCAAAAAATAATTGAGATAATCAAAATCTGGAAATGCCAAAAGTTTTGTATTCGAAAAACTTAGTTTAAGTTCGAAGATGAGCCATTTTCGATTTGATCCTGCGGTACTTGCCCTAAGAAAAACCTCAAAAAATTGACACTTTTGTATGGGCGGTACCTGTAAATCGACTCCGATTGGCTTCAAGCTTTCTGGGATTTCATTTTTTGGGATAAAATAAAGATTCTGAAAGTTTGAAATCAATCGGAATCGATTTACGCATACTTCCTATAGCTGCACAGTTAATAATATATTATTAATTATACTATCGGTATTAACATCGCATGTTAATAATATATTAGTATGATA